AGAAAGAAAGAAAGAAAGAAAGAAAGAAAGAAAGAAAGAAAGAAAGAAAGAAAGAAAGAAAGAAAGAAAGAAAGAAAGAGGGAGGGAGGGAGGGAGGGAGGGAGGGAGAAAGGAAGGAAGGAAGGAAGGAAGAATTGACACAATCACATTTCCAAGACAGTTTAAAAAGAGACACTCAGCATTTTCCAGCCATTGCTGGAGGAGATTTAGAGGGCATAACATCCAGCCCTGCTGTTTAACAGATGAGAAACTGAGGCCAGACAGGAGTGTTACCTGCTTGAAGTTTCACAGCAAGACAGAGAAAGGAGCTCAGCTCTGTTCCTGTCCCCACCCCACCACCTTGCTTTCCCCAGGGGGACAAAGGCCTCATCCTTTCTCAGAGGCATCAGTAATAGAACGGTATGGGAGACGTCTGAAGGTGGGCAGAGCTCTCCTGGTGCCCTGGAAAGCACACCTCCTTATACTCATCTTTGTCTCATTAGCTCCTTTTCATCTTTGAGGACAAGCACTTGTAAGGTCACATTTGTTATGTTGCCACATGGCCCCTGAGGACTGCCTAGTCCCTCTGAACCTGAAGCCCCATCTCTCCAGACTCTTGTGTGAGCTGGACCTTTCCCCTCCAGGACCAGGGCTGAGACCCCTCCCCATGAGAGCCATGACCTTCACCCCCTCTGCCCAGGCTCTGCTGCAGCCCTCCCTGGGCAGACTTCAGCCGCAGGCAGTGTCTGTGGCCTAGCACCCGGATTTCGCCTGCTTCATGGGCTTCTCCTCTGCTCAGACACGCTGGAGTAGGAGGAAGCTGTGGCCTCACTCAAACTGCCCTTGGTTATAGAGTTTAAGGCATGCACTTGGCCCTGACATCTGGACCACGTGACTAAGCGGCTGGCGGGCTAAGACTGGCTGGTGGGTTTGAGAGGAGCTGGAAGGGTTTCAGAGAGGATGGAGAAGCAGGAGTCAGCATGCTGGGGGTGGGGAGGGAAATGTGGGGTTTCCCCAGGATATGCTTGGGATTCCTCCCCAAGGGCCCTCAAGGCACCTCTCCTGCATCTTCCTTAAACATGGAGAGAGAAAAGGAGGGATGCACACCCTTGAGAGAACCCATTCTCCAAGTACGTGCGCTCATATGAACTAGCTCTTCCTTCTGTGTCCTAGAGCTCTCATCAGCATGGATCCACTTCTGTTCTACACACCATGTCCTGGCAAAGTCTAGTGTGAAGGGATCCAATCCTGCCAACACATACTGGCTGTGTGAGCTCAGCAAGGGGTCTGTGGGAGCTCTCCCCACATGATACCCAACTTTGTCACCATGGTTTTCACTGTTACCCCGTCCTGACTGCCACATCCCAACCAACGCCTGTCCCAGTCAGGACACACACCTCCTTGGCTTCTCACCCACTGTCACCAGCGCCTCAGCTGTGTCCCGTTTTCTGGGGTGACAGCCTTCAGGCACTCACCCATCCACGTGGGAACCCCAGAGGCCTCCTGGGCTCAGGCCCTGGACCAGGCCCTGAGCTGGCACCTGGGGTCTCTGCCCCTGAGGCACCTCAATTGCTTCTCAGGGTCAAGGAGATGGTTCCACCACAGAAGCAAGGCCAGAGGAGAAGGATCTGCAGGAGGGGTCCCCGTAGCCTTCTGGAAGGCTCCCTTACCTGGCTCATATCCAGGTACGTCTCTAGGTCATAGGAGTCATTGAGTTGCAGGACACTCCAGAGTGCAGCGCCTTTCCTGCACTGCCTGGGGAGGAACAATGGGCATCGAAGACAGAGAAGGGATGGCTGGTGGGGGCTGACATCACCTGGATAGGACACCCACCTCAGCCCCTCCTCATACCCTGTCCCCAGCCGAGGCTTCCCACTCACTGATAGGCCAGGAGAATGCTGATGTTCTTCTTTAGGCCAAGAAGGTGGGACAAGTTCATGAACGAGGGCAAGTTCCCTGGGGTGTCAGCAAACTGGAGATGGGTCAGGGAGAAGTGAGCCTGGAGCAAGGGAGGTCAGGTCCTGTGCTAGCCTGGCTCAGCAGAGACCACACCCCTGTAACTGCAGCCCAAACCCACCTCGAACTCAAATCACCCTGGGCCCTAACCCCCAGCAGGGACCCTTCCCATGGATCTCGGGGATGGGGGCAGCCTGGGCTACAGCAGACAATCTTGGCTCACCTGCCAGAAGCACTGGGGAACCAGAACAGAGGGGCTCAGGTCTGCGTGCTACCCCTGGGGGGGTCCCTGCCCTGGGACTGGGCATCGCCCCAGAGACTTACAGGCTCTCTCCCACTCCTCACCCATTGGTGGCTTTCTATCTTCCCTGGGCTATGTCTATCATTCTCCCCTCCCTTCCTCCCTCTTGCCCCTGTGGCGCCCACTTCCTTCTAATCATCTTGCCCTGCTCACATCTCCCCCCCATCTCCTCTGGGTCCCAGGGTGGGGCAGGTCCACCTTGTAGAGCTCCCCGTTTTCCCAGCTCCGGCACACCAGCGTCTGCACGTTGCCGCCCACCAGGAAGGTGGAGAAGACAAGGAGGATGAGGGGTACAGCGAAGAGGAAGCTGAGGCACACCCCCCTGGGAAAGGCGGAGGGGCAGGGGTGAGATGGAAGACCCTCTGTTCCCACCCACACCTTGGGCTAGGGTGGTGAGCGAGTTGGCTCCAGGGCAGAAACTTCTGGGGAGAGAAACTTGAAGGACTCCGCCATCTGGGTCAGGAATCGAAACTGTTGACTGTCCCCACCAGGTCCGCCTCCATCCCCACCCTACCAGGTGCTCTGGTTGGCCCTGGCAGCCTAAAGGAGAGGATGGGTAGCTGTTTTGCTCGCAGAGACAGCACTGCCTCCCTCTGGACCCAGGGCACAAAAAAGTGACCAGCTCCAGAGCTTGGCCCTCAACAGGGCCACCTGGCATGGCTACCTATGACTCTCCAGATGAACACACTGAGGCCCAGGTGGGTTAGCAACTTGCCCAGGGCCACCCGCCCAGTCGGTGCCAGAGGCAGTAGTTAAGCCCCATCTTTTGATGCCCAGGACTCGCTCCTGTAGCTATATGAAGCTGTCTGTGGGCATAGAGGCACATGGTGCCTGGTGGGAAAGAGACACACACCCTCCCGCCCCCTCTGCAGCCCTTCTTACACGTTGAGGACTCGGGCTCCAGCCCTGCCCTTGTCTCCTGAGTGGCTGGGGTCCTCCCGGGCAGACAGCTCCCAGATACCCAGGTTGAGGCCCACCAGGTTACAGATCACCACAAGCAGGACCACGGAGCACAGCCCGCAGCCCACAATCCACCTGCCACAGAGGTGAGGGTGTCACTGGGAAGGGATAAGCTGCCATAGGACCTAGTGGTTGGGTGGGGCCACTAAACCCAAGGCTATAAATGTGTAGATGTGGACACCTCCTAAGGCCCCTCTGCTCCTATGGGGTCCCCAGGCTCAGATCTCAAGGGCACAGAGCCAAGGTGGGGACCCAGGGGCCCAAGGAGTGCGGGGTCTTGGCTTAAAGGAGGCAGAGGCTTGGTACAGCCAGGGGTTGACGGGGGCTGGAATTGGCCTGGTGGCCAAGAGGCCACCCCCACCCCCAAGGTACTGAGCACCTGTATTTCTCGTATCTCTGCACCTCCTTCAGGTAGGGGCGGCTACTGTTTTCCACCTTCTCCAGTGCCTGACTCCAGCGATAGGCTGCCTCCCAGTCTGGGAATGCTTTGGCCAGTGTCTTCAGCCCTCTAGGCTGCTGGGCCACTGCCTTCTTCAGCTCTGCCCAAAGCAGCGGGGGCTTATGGGATAGCAAAGGCACCAGGGGCCCAGGGAGAAGGATGGGCAGGAAGAATCCCTGGAACCCACAGAGAGGGTCCACTTTCCATCCAGGCCCAGCCAAGAGGACGGCCTTCACCGCCCCAACTGCCCCATTCCTCTCAACAAGCCTCTTGGTAGGGGTGGGGTGCGGGTGGCATACTGGGCAGCCAGCCTGGCCCCTGGGCAGGGGCTTACCTTTGACCATGTCGGCCATTTGCAAGGAAGCCAAGAGCGGGAGAGCGTTGAAGGTGTTGTTTTCCTGCCAGAACAAAAGACAGCTGTGCCTCCCACTCTCTGTCTGGTGTCCCAGCTTGGGAACCCCTACGTCCCCACGTCCCCAGGGAGAGCTTCCCCCTTAGGACTCCCAGCTCAGGGAGTCAGGAAACAGGCTCCCCTTTGTCCTCTGGGTCGATGGCTTCTCCCCTCCCTGGGCCTAGCCTGACTCACCTCCCCATATGGTGCTCCTCAAAGACCCCTCCTTTTCATCCCTAGCCCTCTTGCTCAGACTACTGCAGTAGACTCCCAGCTATCGTCTCATCTCTCCCATTCTTCCTGCACACGACTGCCAGATCTATTTTCCTAAACTCCAGCTCCAATCTACTCTTCCAGCCTCAGCTCCCACGTCCTTCCTCCTGGAACCTTTTGCTCCAGCCTCCCAGCACAGCTGATTCACTACCTCCTCAACTTGGGCATTTTCCAGGGCCTGGGTCATAGGTGTTGACTCATGCTGCACCCTCCCCCTCCCGCAGTTCATCTCCACCTCGCAGAGTCTGCCTGCCCTCTGGGGCTCAGCTGCACACTCACCCCCTTGCCACCCCAGCTCCCCACCCCGAGAGTCCTGGATCTTGCTTCTGAATTCCAGGCCTGCCTCCCCCACCTGACTGTGTGTACTTGAGAACCGGCATCGTGAGACTCTAGCCCAGGGTGCCACGTGACAGGTGAGGTCCTGATTTGACTCAAGTCTTAGGTTTAACTGGGTCTCCATCCCAAAAGGGGGAAACTGAGGCCCCTCACTTGTAAGTTCCCAAGCAGGTGGGGGAGAAGTCAGGTAGACTGAGGGAAGCACTCACTTCCTGGACCATGCTGGAGAAGTCGGCCTCCGGGACGCCCTTCAGTCGATGAAGGACATCGTCCACATGGGACACCTGAAAGTAAGGGGTGGGGAGGCTAATGACAAAGGCCTGCTAGGGATCCCTGAAGGAGGATAGGGGGGCAGAGGTCGCTGAACCCTCAGTGTCCTCGTGTGCAAACTGGGGACCAGCACAGCTCTTCTGCCACGGTGGCAGTGAGCACTCAAGGAGCTGATACATGGACAGGTGTGATGCAGTGCGTGGCCCAGGAAAGCAGCTACCCTTCTGCCAGGATGGTTATCATTAGCCCTGGGTGTGTGGAGGGGGTGGGTTATGCCTCAGGAAACACCAGAACCCAGACTGCCCAGGGCCCCTCGGAACCTCAGGCACAACCACCCCCTTGCTCTAATGACCTATATCCGGCCTGCACCTGGCCGAAATCAGCTCCCAACTCCAGATCACCAGCCCAGTGCAGGCTGTCTGCACAGCCCTGGCAGCCCGGCTCCTGTAGCAGGTCATGGAGTTGCTCGCGGCACACCGAGACAGCCCGCTCCAGGTCCTGCTGCCTGTCCTGCAGCTTCAGCAGGGTGGTGTTCAGGGCCCGGAGGTGGTCCACGGAGACCTGCAGGTCTGGGATCCCACCCACAACTGCACTGAGCAGTCCCCACTGTCGCTGCATCCCCAGAGGCCTCCCTCCCCCAGCCACAGGGATCTGCTCACTTCAACTTCTGTGGTTATAATGGAACCGGCCCCAGGGCACATGTTACCAGGATGTGGGCAAGGGTGCCCAAGGGGATCCCAGGATAAAGCCAGGGGTGGGGCTTGCTAAGGCAACAAAAGAAATCCAGAGCTGAATGAGAATGGGGCGTGCCCCCAATACACCACCCAGGATGCTGGTCCCACTCACCCTGGCCCAGGCTGCGCAGTGAGGCCAGTGTCTCGTAGACGGTGCTCCTGAGCTGGCTATGGATGGTGCTCCCGATGCTCATGGCAATACCTGAAGAGCACAGGACAGGCTGCGGGGTGGCCCCCTGAAGCCAAGAGCCCTCCGGCCTCCCCAGGCCAGCACAGGGCTCTGCTCAGGATGGCTGCTGTGCTGCCCAGCTGGGCCTGATCCCCACCCTGTGACAGTGTCTTAGGTGAAGCCCAGGGTGAGGGGATGAGAGGATGAGAAGATGAGAGGGACCATCAAGGAAGGCCTGGGCAGGGGGCCCTGGGGTTGTAATCCTCACCATCCAGGTCCTTCAAGACATGTTTCTGGGGCAGAGAGAACTGCTGTGCCACAGCTTGCAGCTCCTAGGCATACAGGGCCGTGAGGCTGTCATCTTGTCGCCCGACAGCCCCTTCTAGTCCCTCCCCAGCCCTTCCCGAGGCCCTCGGGCACTCTGTCCTGCCTGGGCCTGGTGCTCATAGTGGCATGTGAGAGGGAAGGGTGACCCAGTGCTCACCTGGGGGACATTGGAGACCAGACCCCGGAGGCTGAGCAGCATCTCAGGCACAGCCTCAGCACTGGGGCCTGTCTGCTCATGCACGCGCTGGTTGGTGACAAAGGCACAGACGACACCAATCCTGAGGGACAGGGGTGGAGGGAGGTGCTCGCTGGATGCCCATGGGCACCTCGGCCCTGGCCCATCCCTCCCGCTGACCCAGGTGCCCCTCACAGCAGCACAAAGGTGGTCAGCAGCAGGAAGGTCATGAAGGTGCTGCGCTCACAGGCCAGCTCCTTGCGCTCCATCTTCACTGGGCCCCCACAGTGCCGGCGACCATGGCAACACCAGAAACAGAGTCCGGCCGTGGGCACCACCAGGAGGTAGAGGCCCGCGATGACAGCACACACCACATAGCCTGCCTCGTACCGCACCACCTGGGAAGGGCGGCAGGGCAGAGGGCACTGGCTGACCTCACCGGACACCAGAGGGCAGCCAGAAGCAGGGGGTGAACACGGATGGGCACTTTCATGCATGTCCTTGAACTCATGTGAGGTGCATGTGTCCTTATTGTCATTACCACTTAAAGCTGAGGAAAGTGCCCTCCAGGGAGGTCGGGACTCACTGTAAATCCCAGGGCAGTTAATGGCAGAGCTGTGGTTTGAAATCAGGTCTGTGACTGCAGCACTCACGGAAGAGGAGAAGGGATGCCCAGGACCCCACCCTGGGTGGCAGCCAGCCAAGCGGGCTGAGCTGAGGGGGCCTTCCAGGCTCAGCCTGGAATTCCCTCGGGGTCCCGCCTCACCTCATCCACCTTCACGGAGGCCGGTTCATTCAGCAGGGCCCTCACCAACTCTATGGAAAGAGTCAAGCCAGGGCTGGGAGACAGCGACTGCCCTGCCCCTGTGCCCTACCCCACTGCTAGGCAAGGGTGGGCATTACAGAGGAGCTCCTCTTACCCCCAAAGCCCGGTGCCATCATGCCCAGGCCTCAGCGCTGCCACAGGAGGTTGTGGCTGAGGGGAGGCCTGGCCAAGCCCTCCCTACAGGTGGTTCCTGCAGCAGGAAGCCACCAGCCTGGTTAAAAGCAGAGAAACGCTTGGCCCAGCAGCCCTTCCTGTCAACAGACAGGGGACAGGCTGAGAGGGCCCTGCAGCACCACCTGGTCCTCCCAACTCCTAGCACTATTAGGCCCAGAGAAAAACCTTGGCCAGATCTTTGGGAACTTCTAATAAAATTTCCTCTATTTTAGGACAGAGAAACAGGCTCAGAGAGGAAAAGGGGCTTGCCCAAGGTGACACAGGAAGGTCCTGGAGGGGTATCCAGGTGATGCCCCTGGGCAGGAAGGTGGGAGTGGAGAATGCTGGGACCCTGCTCTCCAAGCGCCCCACAGTGGAGGCAGATAAGGGTGCTGGCCAGGACCCATTCCCTCCCGAAGCCAGCCGTGGGAGGGCACACTCACCATCAGGGAAGGGATTGAGCTGCACAGCAGAGAGGAAGCGGCGCACAGTGCCATAGAGGTGGTCCAGGGGGCCCGGTGCGCGCACGTGAGGGGCCAGCCACCGGGCCCTGGCCGCTGGAGCGAAGGTCAGGTGCGCAGCTGGGCCAAGGGACCTGCAGTCCGCTGCCTGTGATCCCGGCAGGCTCAGGGCCAGCATCAGGCCCAGGCCTAGCAGGGGCACCAGGAGGCCCCGTGCACAGGCCATGGGGTCACCAGTGGTGGTGGGACAGGCGCGGGGCTCAGGCAGCTGAGAGTGTGGTCGCAGCGTGGAGCCAGTCATGCATCCTTCGCCAATCTGGGCTCTCAAAACTGGCTCAACGGGTTTGAGCTACCTGGGTGCCAGCCCAGCATGCTGGAATGGCAGGGCGGAGGCCTGGGTAGGGGGGCAGGGCCTGGTCAGAACCGCCCTCAGCAGCCTGGGGTGGGATCCTGGGCACCCTAGCCCCTCCCCAAGTCCCCCTGGGAGGGCTGCCTCCCAGACTGGTAAGGGAGGCACTCAGTGGCCCTGGGTTATCTAGGGTGGCCCAATTTCAAGTAGTATATTCCATGCCCAGACCCAGCAGACCCCTTCTGGGGTCTGGGAAAACAGTCCCCCAGGGAGCTCTGACCCATGTATGGCAAGATCAGCCTCACAGACCCAGGAACCAGACTACTCCCCCAGCTCTCTCTGGGGCCTGCTCTGTCCCCTCAGGTCATGCCTGCGCCCACTGCCAGGCCAACTGAGCAGAGAGGCCACCGGGCTATGTCCACAGCAGCTCTCCAAGGGGCCACTCAGGCAGGCATAGTCTTTTGGGGGCGGGGGTGAATCTGGCAAATGCAGGCCCTTTGGTCCAGCAATGCCCCATCCAGTCACAACTGAAAGAACCGATGGAGGCTATGCCAGAGATGTGTCTACACAGGCCTGTTTTTTAAATGGCTGCATGCCCAATACCGGGAGCCCGCCCGAGGCTGAGCAGGTAGGGGAATATTGCTACGTGCTGAGGATGACCCTGACAGCATTCTTCATGATACCAGAAACAGTCCTGATGGCCACCCCGACGAAGGCGTCGGTGAAATGAGCATCTTGCATGACACACAGGGCAGTCATTAAGGAAAATGCTGGGGAAATGGCTCTTTTGACCTGAAAGATACTCAGTGCATTAATGAGTGCAAATGGTGGATCCCGTAACTATGTGGAGTGAGGCATGAAACTGATCATCTCAGGGTAAAATCACGGGGAATTTCTAATTCTCTTCTGCTTGTCCCTACTGCATGATTTCTTTGCAATAAACGTGTTACTCGTATTCAAAGAAGGAACAGGAGTTTGTGAGTCTCCATGGCAGCCACCCCCAGTTCCCCACCCACCCATGCCATGGGAGCCCTGGAGGGAGGAACTGGGTCTGCTGCCCTGGTTTGCAGGGGGCGGTGAACCATGGGGGTGGTGGTGAGGAGGGCATCACTTAAGTCTGAGTCAGGGCAGGGCCTGCAACAGAATCCCTACCTTCTCATCACTGCCCCCACAGTGTTGTCAGAGCCGGGGGATAAGAGGCACAGTTGTAGAAGCAATAGTCCAGTTAATAACAGGATGCAGACAGGAAACAGAACCTCATCAAAGGATGACTTAGAGATGAGGATCGGGCTGCCCTGAGGAATGGGCTATGGGTGTCCTGGCTTCTTAGGACCAGGGAGGGTCCAGGTCAGCACCGGCCTTGGAGGCCCAACACCAGTATGTGGTGGGAGGCCCCACTCTGCCCTGTGACTCTGCCGAAAAGCTAAATGCAGGCTGTGCCCAACTCTCACCCTTCCCGTCTGACTGTCCTGAGCCCAGCACCTGTGCTGGGGCCCCTGCCCCCTGGAGGCTGCCATCAGGGAGGGTGGGTCTCCCCAGAGCCTGCCTGTTCCTCCTCTCTCCTGGTCCACTGCAAGCTGTTACAAAGAATTACTCCCTGGGGATCGCTTTCTGACTTCATTTCTGCCACCAGAGGAGCCTGGAAATAGCCCTTTCCCGGATAGGTCGAATCCACATATGGTGCAATAGATGGCTGCCACTCAGACTTTTTCGTATGTTCTGACTTGGGTGCACTGGGAGACAGGAAGTGTAGGTCCCAGCCTCCCCAGTAGCACTAGAAACCCTTGGGGCTTTGGGCCATAAGCAGCCCAGGCCCCCAGGCCCTGTCTGTCACTCGCTCTTCTCAGCTAGTGAAATTAAGCCAATCAGTGGCTACTGCTATTGTTTTCATAAATGTCTATAATAAAAGCACTGTACCTGGAAGGTAGGATTTCCCCAAGAAAAAAAGAAAACGTACCAAGCCTTTCTTAGCCAAGGGGCAGGAGAATTGATGAAGACACTGAATCTGCCTATTGGACAGATGGACAAAGTGAGACGGGAAGAAGGGATTTTCCCGAGTCAGTGGCCACACCAGAACCCCCTTCCCCAAGCAGGATCTTGATGGAACAATCTATCCTCAGACTGGCCAGTTGCCCCCACCCCCAACCCCACTACCCCACTTCTCCCCTCCCCCAGCCCCACCTGGGAGAGCAGGTGCAGCTCGGAGGCAGCCCTGGGCACAGGGCAGAGGTGGAGAGGAAACTGCCCACATAACTGAATTCCTAGGAGGGCTGAGCAAGTGGGTTGTGGGGGCTGGGCTGGCTCGCAGCAGCCCTGCCCCTGCAGCAGGGCTGGAGTCTTCCAGAAGTTGGGAGAGGCTCCAAGGGTGGTCCTGTCCTGCCTCTTCCTTTTATTCATACTTTTCTGGGCATACCTGCATGTCCCTACCTCCTGCTACCCCCTGAGGCCCTCTAACCCAGGAAATTCTTTGGTTGACCTGGGATCAGCTAACACTGGTTACCTGGGGAACACTTCCTGGGGCCACTTTCCCAACCCCTGACTCACACATTCTCAGAAATTTGATGGTCCCCAAACCCCACAGCCCTGAAGTTGGGGAGGGGAGTGTGGAGGTGGAAGGACTCTAGGGGAGGGACTCTGCTCTTCAGAAAGCAGTTGGGCCAGAGGACACCAGGTGTGACCACCTGCTGGAAATGTCCAGCTGTCCTCAGGGAAATGGCTGGCCAGAGGTCTGGTCCCTCTTCTTGGGGCCTCAGGTGTCTCCGCTGTGCCCTGGGAACAGGTCGTAAACCATCCCAAGGGGACAAAGGCCCCTTTGATGGCAAGAAGCAAACACGGAGGCCACTGCAGGATCTAAAAAGAGGTTATTGGAGGGACAGGAGTCATTGACGAGTGCAAGCCTGGGAGGTGGAGCTGGGCTGGGGGGCTGCAGCCCAATCCAGTGCCCACCGCCTTGTCTCAGATGGTCTCTCTGGGCCGAGGCTCCCCCACCACACACTGTCCAGGGTCCTCTGCTCCCAGCAGGGCAGAGCATCGTCCTACCAGTCCGAGTTGACCCATTCTCTCAGATCGACTGTCACCACAGCCACAGCACAACAGCCCACTGAATCCTGGCAGGAAAAACTGGTGACCCCAGCCAGAGGCTGCGTCTCCCAGGCCACCACGATCTAGCCCTCTGCAACAGCCTTACACGGTGCAGTGACAGCTACTGGGGCCACCACCATGGACTGCAGGTGTGTGGGGACAGTCCTCTGAGCAGGAGGTAACACCTAAAGGGTATTGGTCACAGTTCGTGGGAGCAGAACTCTTGTTCCAAAAACCCACCAAACACACATGCCACTCACTTAATGTGTGTCATTCTGAAAAGCTTTGGGTGAGAAGACATAAATGGGGATGAAGGGCTGCCTCGGTGGGAACATTTTGGAGAATTTCACTACCTTGCGCCCAGACCTCTTGTCCCTCGTTCCTGTATCCAGCCACTCAACTGTGTGTTTCTGTGCCACCTCCTGGGCATGTCTCCAGAACGGACCATGGAAAATGCAGGTCAGACATGGGACTCTTGCGCTCAATGCCTCCAGTGGCCCCTGCACCAGCCTTAGGAGAAGAGCGAAAGCCGTCATCTGTCCCACCAGGGCCTTCGCCACTGAGGTCCTCTCAGTCACCTGGCAGTTTCCTGCAGTGCTCTCTCACTGTCACACTCCCCTCCGTCCTTCCATGCCCATGGGATTCCCCCTTCTTCACCACCCTGCCACTCTTGCACCCCTTTCTGCTCATCCTCTAAGACTTGACTCCGTGGCCATCTTCTCTAGGAGGCACTGGCCTCCCGGTGGAGTGAGGGATCTCTTTGGGCCACTTCTGTCTGCCCACAGGTATGGACTTGCACTGGATCCACCCTCCTTAGCCCCAGCACAGACCCCAGCCCCAGAGTATTTCCCATAAATGTCTTCCTGGCTTGAGGAAACCAGATTTCAAAACATTGAAAGTCAAACATTTTCTCGTGACCAGAGAATCTGAAAGTGAACGTGACTCAAAGATGGATGGGAGCGTTTCCAAACTGAAATCTGAGGGTGCGGTGGTGACAAAACCTGCATGGGAGGGGCGGGGTGGGGCGGGGCGGGGCATGACAGGATGGGGACGAGGCATGTCTCTGGGAACTTCTTCGTGAGCCTTGCCAAGCAGTAAGGATGGGCACAACCCAAAGTGAGGCCATAGGACGTGTGCGGGGGTTTCAGCAATGTGCTAGAGAGTGTCTGACAACCACTGCAGGCAGGTGTGGCTCTCACAGAGCCACAGGGCGCGTGTCGGGACCTCAGGCAGGCCCCTTTGTCAGAAGTGGTCAGAGTGGGGAGGGCAGGGGCCCAGGCAGACAGGGATGGCTGTGCTCTGGTTTGCGGTGGCAGGATGGGCTTTAGGAAGACAGAAAAAAAATCTGGTTTCTGAGCCTCAGGGCAGTTGGGGCCTCATGTTGTCTGTGAGCACCCTGGGGGCAGCCTCTGTCCCTCAAAAGTGTAACTTCAGAAGGAAACATTCACAGCTGGAGATGAGCTACTGGACCGGTTGGAACATCTCAGTCCAATCTTCCCGTCACAACAGGTTGAGGGGACGTTGTTGATGGTCCCAGTTTGGAAGTGCCAGGCACCCTTTCTTTCTCTTGAGGGGTTTTGGCAGGACCACTGATGAGGCGCTCTGGACTCAGTCTGACCCGAGTCTCCCCCTGGGCATGCCCACGCCAAAGTCCTAGCTGGATCTTACACCGCAGCTAGAAAGAGTGGCCCCCACCTTTGTCTTCTCGAGGCAGTGTGGGAGCACACAGAATGTATGAATGGAGGCCCCTTTCAGTGAAGGCTAGGAGATGGGGGTTAGGCTGGAAAGAGGAGTCCATGCAGCCATAACCAGGAGGCTGAGATGGGTGACACCTGAGGGTGGAGGAATGGTGCCTGCAGCCTACAGCGGAGTTTCAGCTGGCGAGCCGCCTGCTCTGGGTTAGAGTCTGTCTTCTGCTCAGCCCACTGCACACAACCCAGAGGAGAGGTGCCCAGTCCTGGTGACAGAACGAGGTCCACTGGAAGGTGGGTTGGAACCCACAGCCGGCAATGGAGCCAGGAGGCGTTCAATGAGCAATTCACAGATCCCTAGATGCGTAGCTGCCTGTGGAAACAGAAAGACATAAGGGATTAGCTGACCGCAAGTCAGCATGAGCCAGTAATAAGGCCAGACACCAAGATGCCTTGGTAATACTAGTTGACTCCAGAGGTTAAAGATCCCCCTGCAGAGGCCCTGTGTCCTTTCCCTGTGCTGCTCGGCCCTGCTCTGAAGCTTTCCTCCCTCTAGAGTTAGCCATGACCAGATGGGGCAGGGCCAGAGACCTGTGCCCTGGCCAGGAGCCACCAAGGGTCAGTACGGGGGACAGGAAGGTCAGAGCAAGACCCCACTGCCTTCTGGTCTTCGTGCCAGAAGCAGCCAAGGACCCGCCCTGCCCTGTCCCTGCCAATGCTCCTCACCTGCATCCCCTGTACCCCTGCAGGTCTGGCCATCCAAGCCTAGGGCGCAGCCTCTGTGGGACAAGAACTAGGACGAGGACAGCGCAGACCAGCCTCTCCATGTCCCACTCCCAGTAGCACTTCCCTTTCTCGGGTGCATTCCCCAGGATGAGGATGGGGCTGAGAGTGTCAGGGTCCCCCAAGACCGGGGAGAGGACATAGGGACCCTGACACCCAAGAGGTCACAGGCACCCCTGCAGCAGGCCCCTCAGAAGTGCATCCCCCCTGGAGGAAGGATGCTGTACACAGGAAGGAACACATGGTGGCTTTTCTGGGCCTCTTCGAAAGGGATGGTGTTTTCTCTCTGGGTGACCTACATTGAGGACTCTGCTGTCAACCCCTTCTACTAGAGAAGGCTGGTTCCAAGATGAGGCTCCCACTGTGACAGGGTATGCCATGAACACTTACTGCTAGTTGAAACTCTGGTGTCACAAAACATAAAATGTGGACATACTCC